AGCATTAGCAACATTTCTATTGGTCTGCATGAGCATTAGCAACATTTCTATTGGTCTGCATGAGCATTAGCAACATTTCTATTGGTCTGCATGAGCATTAGCAACATTTCTATTGGTCAAGGCGAGAGTCAAGACCAAATGTTTGCACTGGGCCTGAAGTAAAGAGAATGTGATCTGTGAAACCAAATTTAATCTGAATAAGGGACATTTTGAAAGAAAAAATAAAAAATAAAAGAAAAACACATGTATAGAAAATTAATTTGAAAAAAATTAATTTGAAAAAAAAAAAAAAAAAAAATATATATATATATATATATATATATATATATATATAGAAAAAAACATTAGATAATGTAAAGAAAAAAAAAATCTGGGAAAGCAGCAAAGTTATTCTTAAAACATTTTTTGATTAAGAAGTTTTTCGAGGTTCATTTTTGGATTACATTTTCTTAGCAAACATATTCTTTAGAGATGCACCGAAATGAAAATTCTTGACCATTAGGGAAAAATTAAGAATCAAAGGCTAAAAACTGAAACACTAATTATGTCCAATATCAGAACCACAGAATTTTTGGCTACGATGCGTACTAACCCTAATAAAAAAACAAATTTTATATGATTTATTGAAACTCAAGGCAATTCAATAAATCAGTTAGAATTTGAAAGAATTACTGAAATTAAAAAAGTATTAACATATTGATTTACCACTGACATCTTTCTGTTATGCTTTTTACATTGGCAGAATATCTGGGAAACTTTCTTGCATTTTCAAACATGTCCGCCACAGACTGAGTGGGCTTGTATGCCGGTTTCCTTTTCCGTGTCGCATTCTTCTCATTTAGAACCATGACAGAAAGCTGATGGAGATGTCTGAATCTCTATGGCATTTAGTGCCCCTGACCTAAGCCGATAGAGGTCGTTGTGCAACGTTTAAACACCCCCCCTCCCTCACAACCTGTCTGCAGGGCGCTAAACTCTGACCAACTCTGCTCTGCAAGCTGTGCTCTGCTGCTTCAGTGCTTTTCTTCATGCGATTGACGTTTCTTCATGCTGGCTGTGCTGTTTGTCGTTGTTGTTTCTGTGTTAATTTTCTGTTGCCTGAAAGCCGAACGCTTTTAGGTTAATTTTTGATGCATCTCTAATATTCTTTGCTGCAAATATAATGGAACTAAATTCCCGCCGTGTGTCAGAGATTATAGACTTCCTGGTTCCTGTGAAGCTGCACCTTCACACAGCTCTGACCTCATCACCATTAAAATCTTCTAAACTCAAGGTCTGATCCTCACTAAAGAGAGAAGTTTGACAAGATGTTTCTTTAAAGTTTGTCAAAAGTAACACATGAAAACGACATATTTCTGTTTCTTCATCTGAACTTGGGCCAAAAAAGAAACTCTTCACTCTGGATGTTTTTCTAAATAAGTTTGACTCAAAATTAGCTACTTTTAGACCGGGGTGTTTAAAAGGTCGACGTAATCACTAAACTGGGACATAACAAAAACATGTAAAGGGAAACAGCCTTTTCTGCTGATGGAAATATATTTTTTTTTTTACAATTAATTCTGTTTCTGAGACAGAAAGATCCCACAGATTCAGTTTAATGTCGTTATTCGACTGTTTTCTTCTCCAGACAACATGTTCAGACCACAAACATTTTTTTTTAAACAAAACTTAATGAATAAGTTTTACTCCTTTTCTCCAAAGAGGTCAGTTGATGTCTGCAGGGGATGAATAGTTCCTGATAAAGCAGGAAACAAGCTCATGGTTTCCTGTTCAGAGCAATCGGTCAGAGAAAAGTTGCTTTCTGAAAATCTTTGAACTAAAAAAAAAGAAAAACAAAGGAAAAGCAAAAAGCTGTGAAAAGGAATCCGGGCTTAGAAAGACGTGGCTGATCTCTCACCGTTCCGTCTACTAGAGCCAGGCCGAGGCCGTGGGGCCCTCTGCAGATCTCCACTGTGAACACTTCCTCTCTGTCTTCTTCTGCTTCCGGGTTTCCTGCCTCCATCTGGGTCCTCCCAGCAGCTAGACAAACAGAGAACACATCGGCTCAGAGACATGGACCCTCCTAAACCGCTCCAACAGAACGCTCCTCTGCACCTGGTCACATCAACACTAACACTGAAAGCGTCGCCTCGGTTCTGCCGTTGATCTGGATTTAGATTTTTTTTTATTCTGTGCTCCATACAGCATCGTGCAAAAATATCCACGTTTCTTTTACATTTTTTAAACACAAAGTTGAAAAACATTTTGGGTGGATTTTAGTAGAAGAATCAACACACAGTAATGCATGAAACTACTGTCTGTATTCTTCTGAATCACTGGAGGAAATGTTTTGCGTTATTCCATCAGGTTTGTTCATCTGCACAAGCAGCTCAGTCTGACTGGTTGGAGAACCTGAGACGATGGAGCGATACATCCGCCGGCCGATATTAGAGGTTATTTCTTGTATCGGTCGATGCCTGCATGCATTATTTGACTGATTATTCATTCATTCAGCAGCCAGGCCTGAGATGACGTGGATCTCATGTATGTCTGCGCTACCTTTCCATAATAAACAGTTTTCTCCATGCAGGCCATGGTTGGAACTCTGCTTCATCAGGTGATCAAAGCTCACAGATTCATATTCCAGCATCTTTCAGCTCCTTTACAGGTTTTAACTCTGTTAATTCACCCTGACCCGTCAGATGGGTTCCTTCACCTTCATGCTGCTGTTTGTTCTCCAGCATTCTCCACCAATCACTGAAGGCCGTCAGAAATCAGCTGGATTTTAAATCTGGGCCTTAAACCAAATGAGGAGGACTTCCAGGGAGCTCAACATGAACACATTTCCTGATTAACCTGATTTAACTAAGTCATGTTCAACTGAAAGAAACTGATAAGGTCATAGAGAAGATAAAGGAACGCACAATTCTGCCATTTTGGTTTCTTATTCTACATAAATAAAGTTAATAAAATCTTCCATACGGTTTTCTAACCAGATCAAAAATGACTTCATGTTGAATGAAATGAGCGTGGAGATCAATCAGTGTTAACTCTGACATCACTACGCCGCTTTTGGCCGACAACAGGCCGCGAACTGATGATGTCATTCATTTGATCTTAAAAAATCCACTATTGTTTCTTTAAATGAGTCGGCTTTTAATCTGAATCATCTAAAATCCCAAAGATCGGACAGCGGGGGGGTGGGGTGGGGTGGGTGAGGCTCTTCCTGTCCACCTCTGGCTCATGTCTTTATTTGTCCCATCCTCCACTAAAACAGAACAAAAAGCCGTTCCAAACTATTCTGCTCCACCCTTCCTCCCCTCCTCATCCTCCCCCTGCCTTTTCCCCCCCAACATGGAGCCCCCCCCACCCCCAGCAGGTCGTGTCCTGAACAATGCCGATTAAGATTCCACGCACCAACCCAGCTGTAAACTCCCATGACAGATCAGCCGCTGCTCTTTTCTCTCCTGACATCACCGCCTCTCTGTAGCTCCTCTGGACGGATTAAAGGATTATGAAACTCGGCAGAACCAGGGAGGTAGAAGAGGCGGAGGTTCAAAATGACGGGGATGGTAGAAAGTTCAAATCATGAAAAAGACTAAGAATATGTTGGTGATGCGGGACAGAGAGGCAGGAACATCAGATGATTGAACATGATATGATTTTTGCTCATATATCAGTTGATATGTTAATTCAGTGGCAGCTCATTAGAGCACTCTGAACCATGACTTAAGATAAGGTGCAAACATCACTCTTCCTTCCATTTGCTATGGGTCGTTAATCTTTCTATCAATTAATCACTTTTTCACTCATTTTAATCATTAATTCACACATTCTGTGGAAGTAAAAATCTGCCCCTTTCTCAATAATCCTAAATTAGTTTTTTTGGCCATAAACCTTAAACTACTGCATGGCTACTGAGTCATAGGACAGGCTACCAATACTGACTTATGAACTGGAGGAGGCGGCGTTCACATAAACCTTATACATAATAAACGTATTTCTATTGTTTCTTTTCATTTCTAATTTGCTTTCAGATTTTATCATTTTGAAATCCCTATAAATGCTTAAATGTTCTAGATGATTGATGATTTGCTCTATAACTTAGCCTATTGGTGAGTTTTTTCTGTTTTCAGAAGATGCTGAGGACACCCTATGTGGTCCTTGAGGGCCCATCGGTGCACATGGGCACCACGTCGGTGACCCCTGCCTTAAATTAACAGAATAGGTTGCAAACTAGATATAATTCTGCTAATTATTGACCCAAATGCGTTTAAGAATTATTATTTTTTTTTCAATTGATTTATAGTAAAGCTTTCCTGAACTCTTCATCCAGACTGTTTCCCTAAAACTTCCTCTTGTTATTTCCATCACTTCAATTTAAGACAAAGAACTTTGGTTAATTAAGTGACAATAGTCTCTTAGCAGCTCTAAATATAATTTCATTTTTAAATGATAGCTTTAACACATTTGATTCAATAAACAGTTTGTTTGTTCTCTAATATTCTCACTGTGTCACAGAAACAGGTTTGATGTTAATTCTATATGCGTCGCCCCATTTCTTCACAATATAATATGATTTCCAGTGTTAATTGTTGTAAAATGTTCTTTCATTTATTTAGCAGTCAAACACTTTTACACAGTTTTGTTTTATGTATTTAAATTTAGATTTCCAGTTGAATTTATGAGCCAGCAAAAATGTAACTTAATTCATTTAAATTACATTGTTTATTTTTTTGTTTAAATTAAAACTTGTGAAACCCTTGTTATCACTGTATAATTTTCATAAATGGAAGAAGAGAAATCAATTTATAGGATATTCTCAGCCTAAAGGTTTCATGTCATTTTGTGCAAATGTTTCATGAATCTTTAATAAATTATAATATATTATGCTTGAATTTCCTAATAGTTTTTATTACTCATCAACCTGGGTAGAAAGTTATTTTAGGTTTACCGGCAAAAAAATACAATTATTGCTACGATAGATAAATACATTTACAATTATATTTTTGTTAAATGTCCAACAACCTGCTGAAGGTTTTTTGTTTCTTAAAAAGAAAAACATTTGTAAATATAATTATATAAAATCCCGTCACTGAACAGCTAATGTTTTTAAGTAATTAGCTTCCATTGACCACGGCCGGTGACAGATGGCTCGCTTTCAGTGTAATTCCTTAATCTGTTTAGGCAAATAGCTTTTAATAAAAGCGCTAAGAGAAAACACGCGACACCAGGAACCAATGACAGTAAAGACACCTGAATAAGATCAACAAAATCCTCCAGCTTAAACTTCTGTGAGGGCACACAACCACACAGGGAGGGGAGGAGAGCATTAACGCGGGGGCACCATGAATCACGAGACCCCGAGGATTTCTGAAGGTCTGCCTCAGATCGGAGTCTCTTTTCTACAGAATCTACAAAAAGACAAAGCTTCTATAACGAGCTGCTTTGATCAGAGAAGAGATTTTCAGAAAATATCATAAACTATAAAGTTGTGTTTCATAAAAAGTGAATCAGCATTAAAATCAGTTTCGGCAAAGGTTGGTCATTTTTAAAAGAATC